GTTAGCCAGGATGGTCTCGATCTCCCGACCTCGTGATCCACCCGTCTCAGCCTCCCAAAGTGCTGGGATTACAGGCTTGAGCCACCGCGCCCGGCCGAAAACAACTCTTAAACATTAACTTTACAACATCAATTCCAACTCTGAGGCAGAAAAAAGGTGACACAGTCCATTCTCTTATCAGTTAAGGACCCAATGTGAAGCCAGAACAGCTGTGACTTGGGAAACGCTATTAAATGTTATTACAGTGTGAAAATCTCCAAAGCAATGCTACAGGTTTGTCTCTATAAAGACGGAGGCTACAATCTTATGAAGTCATTCAAGTTAAAAATTCACTGAAGGTAAAATCTATGCCAAAAGCATTCCTCTATAAAGACTGCTCAACTTCTTCAAGTAAGTCTTCTCAGGTCATGGAAATCTAGGTCATGCAAGGAACCCCTGGCGCTGTGATTCTCTGGCTCCACACCACTCAAGGACCAGCAGCACCAGCAGCACCTACGAGCAGGTAAGAAAGGCAGAATCTCAGGTCCTCCCAGACCCGCTGTCTCTACATTCCTCAGGTACTCCGTGCGCACACTAGAGCCAGGGATGCACCGGTCTAGGTGTTATCTGGCTACATTAAGACAAAGAAAAAAATGATGCAATGAAATTAAACAGTTGGCTTTTCAACTATAAGAACAGGTCTTTTTGTCAGCTACCCCAACTATTAAAAGGGAAGAAAAAAAAAAACATGGTACAAAGGAGCTACAAATAACCCTCAGCTATGGAGACATTTTCAGAAACGCTGAGCACTATCCAAATGGGATGTGCGGAACGCTTCCTGACCAGGCCAGATTCCTCAAGAGTCAGTGAAAACCCCGTTCCTACCTGCAAACCGCAGAGGCGCATCTTTGTCCAGCGCGATCAGCGGGGGGTCGAGGAGCACCGCGTTGTCGTTCTCTGTGACTATGCCATGGTAGGTGGGCTCCAGCCAGGGCTTGTGCTTGTTAACTGCGTTTAAAACAAAAGAAGAAAATAGACGAGGTGAGAAATAGTATTTTCAACTCCACTACTTCTGAAGACATACACTTGCTATAAAATAATAAAACTCTCATTAGGCTTGAAGGCAGTGCTCACAGTTCCGTCGCAAAATTTGGTATCAAGACCCAAATGAGATGAAATTCTAAATTCCAGAATAAGTAATGTAGAAATTATCTGAATCCATGAAGCAACTAGAAATAAGAAATAAATTGCTCTAGAAATCAAGAAAAAAAAAAGACTGATGGCTACAGGAAGACTATCTCTGCTTTCAGTCTATCACTGAAAAGTTACAGAGAATGGTATTTTCATTTCTTTATGATTTTTTGAGACAGAGTCTTGCTCTGTCACCCAGGCTGGAGGCACAGTGGTGTAATCATGGCTCACTGCAGCCTCAACCTCCCAGGCTCAGGTGATCCTCCCCCTTCAGCCTCCCAGGTAGCTGGGACTATGTGTGCACCACCACACTTGGCTACTTTTTTTTTTTAACTCTTTGTACAGACAGGGTTTCACCATGTTGCCCAGGCTGGTCTTAAACTCCTGGGCTCAAGTGATCTGCCTGCCTTGGCCTCCCAAAGTGTTGGGATTACAGGCACGAGCCATGGCACCTGGCCCCAGTATTATTATTTTTTTTCTTTTTTTTTTTTTTTTGAGACGGAGTCTAGCTCTGTCGCCCAGGCTGGAGCGCAGTGGCCGGATCTCAGCTCACTGCAAGCTCCGCCTCCCGGGTTTTCGCCATTCTCCTGCCTCAGCCTCCCGAGTGGCTGGGACTACAGGCCTCCGCAACCTCACCCGGCTAGTTTTTTGTATTTTTTTAGTAGAGACGGGGTTTCACCGTGTTAGCCAGGAGGGTGTCGATCTCTTGACCTCATGATCCGCCCATCTCGGCCTCCCAAAGTGCTGGGATTACAGGCTTGAGCCACCGCGCCCGGCTTATTTTTTTCTTTTTTCTCTGTTGCCCAGGCTGGAACATAGTGGTACGATCTCAGCTCACTAGCTCATTAAGCCACTGCGCCCAGCTGCCCAATATTAATTTTAAATTCGTATTACTAACAATAATGTAAAGCAAAGATGCAAAATGCAATAAAGTATTAAAATAAAACTAAATGCAGAATTTCAGAAAAAACCACCACTTGACTGAAAACAAGAGTATTTAAGAATAATCCGCCGGG